ACTGGCCCACTTGTTTCAGTTCCAGCGGGTGCTTTTGCAAGCCACAAAAATGTTTGCATTGCAATAAACCACAAGCCGCGTGAATGGCAAATTGCGGAGCTAGGCAATGCAGTCACATACAAGATGACAAAGTATCAACCAGCCTGCTGCTGCAATATCTAGGATTGCTTGACGAACCCCTGGCCCACTTGTTTCAGTTCCCGCAGGTGCTTCAATTTGCTGAGCTAGGGAATCCAGGAAACAGGTACTGGCAAGATAACAAGCATGAGTCTGATCTTTTTGGATGAAAGTCTTTCAGCTTGCAATATCAACAAATAGAACAATAGCAACACAACGGTGCTCATGAAACTGGGATGCGAAGCGATGGATGTGTATCAACGGCGGCACCTCCAACACGACCAGCATCGAGTTGCCCTCACTGTTGCACTGCACGATCTCCTGGGGATTGGCCAAGCTGGTGATAGGAGACCAGTGTCTCCTACGGACCCAAACAGTCGCATTGAAAGGCCTGGATCAAAATCACCGAGAAAAGGCACATTGAAAGCCCTCCATGTAGGTAAGTCCCGGAAGCCTCAAACCATTCATTCGATTAGGCTCATGCAAGCAACGTCTGCAGTCTGTCAAAATCATACTTGCTTGTAAGTGTTAAAAACAGGTAAAAGTGATTAAACATCATCGCACTAGTGCTGGTCGCCCTGGGTTTATGAACTTCATTACGTCATGACAAAAACAGCTACTTTTGCAGCTTCAAGTGTCTCACTCAGCTTTGCTTAGTGCTCATACAAACTTGCCATGGCGAGTTTCACGCCAACAGTGACTCTCCAACAGGCAAACATTCTGAAAGGGCCGGAAGAACCTCAAGTATGTCTTCCTTCCAAATTGGTCCCAAGAACCTCCATCCATGTTCTTTACAACACCGATTTGAGATCTGGAAAGCTACTGAGGTCCCGGCCCCAGGGCCCTCCCCCCCTGCACCGACACTCGGTTCCTCATACTCCTGGAAGGTTTCCTAGCCACCGTGGTGTTCGGCGATTGCAGTGAGGTTTGGGAATTCTTGCCCAGCATGCGGAAATGGATGGAAATGGTATGAAACGATGAAATCTCAGCATCGAAGATATGATCGAACCGAGGGTACTTTGGACAGTTCACTTCAGGTTTTTGCTGATTCCAAACGGGAATCGCAAACCGGTCTGCCCTGGCTCTAAGGGTCATGTCATCTTCAAGGTTCATGATTTGTGAAGTTGATTTGTTGATATCAACAAAACACATGTTTAAGACAAATACTTCCTAGGAACCCCAATAGCGCCGGCCTCCAACCTAAGAGAAATCATGTCTGAAGGTGATGTCACGATATGTGACATGATATGTCATGAAGTGCAAGTAGCAAGTGCATTACTACTAGTAAGAAGAAGCTACTAGAAACAAGTGCATCGCTAGTAGTAACAAGTGCCTTACTAGTAGTAAGAAGAAGCTATTAGTAAGAAGAAGCTACTAGTAGCTATTTGGTCCTCATTTTTCTCCACCAGAAACGACCGCCCCAACGCACCTCTGTGAGCTGCCCCGCCAGGCGCTGGAGGAACTCCTCGGGGCAACCGGCCAAGAGCTGCGTGGCACTCAAGGCGGGCAGCGCCACCTGCAGGACTGGGGGAGAGAGAGCCTCCAGGAGCGGAGTGCTGGTGACCGACTGGGAGAAGGTGATGAAAACTCGAAGACTACTTGATCACCAGCGCGGAATGTTCACGCGAACTGATGGTGGAATCCACCTGGGAATGTTCACGCGAACTCGTTAAACTGCTTTGGCTTGTGTAAAAAACACATAATTCACCCCCCATCGCTGAGTCAGTGTGATCCCCAACTCACGCGAACTCAGTGCAGTGTGTGGGAATGAGCTCAACCTGAATGAGCAATCAAACTGATCACTGATGACTCACAATACTTGTAGACTACTTACTCTCGCTGAAACTTAAAAATCAACAACATGGAAGCAGAGTTCACCCACTGTTTGTATTCGAATGTCATGGTCTTTTGAACTCGGGGCCATGCCCTCCATGATAACCATGTTAGTTCCAGGAAGTGTAAACTACTATTCTTGGAGCGAGCGGCAAGATGAATAGAGACATCTAAAGCCATCACTGCCGATGGACAATACTGTTTGAATGAACCCTTTTGCCTGTCGCTCGTCATTTGGTCACCTGGGTGATGGGGGGGGGGGTCCCAATCCGCCATCGAGACGTCTGGGGATCGGCCAAGGTCGAAAACGTGGATCGGATCGTCGGTCGCTTCGTCCCGCAGAATGGACTGTGGAGAATGGCACCTCCCAACGGATGGTTGAGAGATCATCCCACCAGTTCTTGACTTCCCAACCGTTTTCGGACACAAACGCTTCTACAGTAAGGGTTCATGACTGCAAGCTGACTTTCAAACCAAATCGTAAAATAAACAATGAAGCCCAACTTGAAACTTCTGTCCATGACGGATCTATCCACAGGGTGACATCATCACTCATCAGCATCCATCAACGTCCGGCTGAAGCAGCTGCCATCAGTCTGAGCATCTCAGAATCGAAGGCGATGGCTCTGTGATCCCACCGGAGCGGATTTGCCCCACAACCAACAGAGGTTGAAGAAGCCTATAGACTATCCCATAGGTACCCCAGGTGACGGGTCCTGGTTCAGGTCACTTAACCTCTGTTGGACATCCCCAACAAATGATCCCCAAAGATCCCGAAACATAGCGCATCCAACAAACCACAAAGTCCAGCAAGTCGGACGGAGTCTTCTCCATGGACATCGCGGTGGTGTTGTTTGGAGCTTTCGGGCATCGGCTCCATCCAACTACCTCCGTTTCAGAACATGGTTATGGTGGGTACCAGGGGGGTCTCACCACTGAACTTGAGGATATGGGCCAGGAGCCCTAGGCACTTAGCCTTCATCTCGGTGCCTTCCTGAAAACCGGCCTGGCGGACCCACGTGCGACGCTCCTCCAATGCTTCCTTCTCCTCGAGGACAAGCCTCAAGTGACTGGGGTGTCTTTGTTAGGAGGAAATTGGACGAGCCTCGAGATGAGTCGATCAACGTCTGCAGGCATCACGTTGGTCGCATCCAAAAAAGCATCGAACTGAATGATCTATGATCGATGCTCACCCACATTTCTTGTTTTGAGGTAAGCCGTGAGAACAAGATTCCCTTGGTTGGTCACCAGCTGAGCATGCCGAGGTATTTTATAATCTCCGATGAACATGGCTTTTGTACGTATGTGTGTGTGGAATCGACAGCCGTCTATCTAGCCTCTTGCTAATAAAGAAATTTCCCAGGTACTTGGCCCGCCACTTGGGGGAATTTTGTGGGGTCCTCAACCTGTGGAAGGAGCCTCTAGGTCGACCTAGGACATCATCGGCCACTGTTTCCTCCATGGTCTGGCGTTTCAACGGTCGTTTGGCCCAAGCGCTGATCCACATTCCGCCACCAGATCTCCAGGTCGTCGCTGTTGGGCTCGCTTGGCCCGGGCAAAGCGACGCAGGCACACAGCACTGGGCCTGACGCCCAGGAGATGCGTGGAAGCCAAATACATTGGAAGCGGACAGCCAGCTCTACGTAAAGGAACATCTAAACATCTACTCTTCCTTGATCTTCCTTGAGGGTGATTGTATAACATGCAAACGATTCGGAGGTAAGGGTAATGAGGTTCCCCAAATGAACATGTAAAGCATGAAAAAGCTTTCATCGACTTCCAAGTCACGTTTCGCGCCATCAGCTACTTGCAAATACTTGCATCCAACACAGATGATTGAGGGTCTAGCCGATTTTTCGTGATTTTTTGACAAACCTCCCCACCACTGCCTGCACATAATCCCTTCAGTCATTTCTGAGTAATTATCCGACTCCCAGACAACTTGGCTGCCTTCTTACGGTGATCTGTGTGAAGGTTCGGTTTCTTTGGCCTCCAGTCTCTATAGGATGATCAACTGCAACCAGGGGTACTGCGACATAGGCATGGCCTGGATTTACTGTGTCATACGGAAGGAGACACTAAACTTGAGAAAGAGTCGAGGGGGTTAGGGTTTCCACTAGAATCACTAGCATAACAAGGACGCTATTAAGTGAAAGCCATGGCGGTCGCAGGTTGGAGGCCATCGCTACTAGTAACAAGGACGCTACGAACGTAGCAAGGGTCATCCAAGCGGATCGCTCCACATCCAGGCGTCCACGCCTTTCCGCGCGGAGACCGTGGTGTTGGCCCCAGGCACCACCAGTAGCACTTCACCCGGTCCCGCGTAGCGCAGCAGCACCCCGTCAGGTGCCACAAGGGCGAGGCGCCCTGAGAGCACCAAGTGCCTCGCGAGCGCGAGCTGCGGGAGGGGTAAGGGATCAAAATAAAAATCACAATAGAATCAAAAAAAAATTCAACGGGGATCAATAAAAAAAAAGGGGAATCAACAAAAACATATTCTAGCCCACTGAGGATGGTTGGGGTAGTAGTAGTAGCAGTAGCAGTAGCAGGATTAGGATACCACGGGAAGAGGATGGAAGGAGTAGGGGACTAGGAGAGTGTACCTCCCTAGGACCAGGAGACCGAAAGACGAGCGGAGTAGGAGAGCAAGAAACCAGCGGACCAGGAGACAGAAGGACCAGGATACCAGGGGACCAGCGGACCACAGGACCAGAGGACCAGGAGACCGGAGGACTAGGTGACCAGTGGACCAAAGGACCAAGGGACCAGGGGACCAAAGGACCAGTGGACCAGAGGACCAAGCGACCAAAGGACCAAGGGACCTTATTACCAGAGGACCCGCAGACCACAGGGCCAGGAGAGCAGCAGAAGAGGCCTATCAAGGAATATGTTTTGATTCGCTTGTTATTTTGTTTTTGATCCTCTTTTTATGTTTTTTTGGATGCTCGTTTTATTTTTGTTTGATACCTATGCCCTGCGAGAGATCCCAGTTGGACCCCGATGAAAGAATGGATAGAGCATGATAGAGCATTTATAGGGGATCTCACCATCAAGATGTGGAAAAGCCTTTTTGTAGATGCTTCAACTTCTGCAAAATGGTGGAGCACACAATGGGAATCCCCCCAAAAATAGCTCATGGGGCAAAGGTTTACAACTTCAATCTGAGGGCTGTACCAAAGGAATGACGATCCGATGTGTCACTTTGCGGCTTTCACTCGGACGCGTCATTACATTTTTTGGAGCTGTGTGTGGACATGTTTGGACCCAAATTAGCGAAGCAACTTCCTCAGTTTCATGGATCCAGGGTGTGAATTTGTCATCCATGCTGTGCGCACATGGCTAAAGCTTCATCTGTAATTACAGCCTGATTGTTGTTTCAACCTTGGCTGTAGATCTGACAACCCCCCAACAGCTTGAATGTAACTGAGTGGAAGTTCCTTGCCCACCTGCTTTCTAATGAACCTTGCACGTACACCTTCACTCACAAAACACGCCTAGCCTTAAACATGTCAAAAGGTGTCAGCGGACAATTTCGACAAACAAACACATAAAAAGGAAAATGGTGAGAAGCGAGTGAGGCCAAACAAAGTCTCCAAGGTCAAGATTATGAGAAACATTTGGCAAACACATTCGCTCTCTACGTGTTCCTCTCGTTGTGTTCTGAATCACTTGCTTTACATCCTACAATACTCTATATACTTGTCAACATATGTCAACATGCACTCAGTACTAGATCTTTTCTACCTATGCTCTACTACTACAGTTCGTATGACTTGCAACAGCACCCCAAACGCACCCATGTCTACCTACAGGGCAGCCCCAGCACACATAGGTATGTGTGCTCGTGAACGTTTCACACTACATCCAAATGTTTGTGATGGATCGCAGTGAAGTAGTGCTGGTGCAAGTGATCAAAAGAAATCTTTTCATTTAGGCCCCATAGAAAATTTAGATGTTGAACGCCATTTCTGTCACTGTTCATGTGAGAAATATCTCCAACACAACGGGTGCAAATTGAACAAATCAGTCAGCATCTAAAGTTGAGCACGTCAACCTTTAATCTAGATTCCTGGTCCAAAACCAATAGTCTAACACTAGTCTGAGCCCAAAACAAAGGCACAAAAATAAGCTTGAAGACAGTCGGCAACGGAAGCGGCAAAATCATACATATTTCTCAACGGGAGGGTTGTAAAATCATACCCTCAAACGAGTGTGCTTAGCACCGGCTGGAACTGGACCCTTCCACCACCCCGGCCATTGCAAAGCCTTGTTTCTTTGCACCACCAGGGGCACTTTCCACCCCGTTCCCGGAACTCGGATCCGCGATCGGATCCGAATGGACCTCAAAAGATGCTCAAGCCGTTGTTGGAAGCTAAGGTGTGTAGGAGTAGTGCTTGAGCAGTCCAACGAAACCACCAGGTGCGGAGCCTTTTCAAAACCTCATCACTTCTACAGCTCTCCCGCCCAGCTACACTCCCTGGCCAAGGGCATCGTGAGGCGCCAACAGCTGGAGCGCTGCGTCGTCCCAGAAGTTCCGCATAAAGTTGCTTGAACAGCCTGCAGAATTGGTCAGTGCCTTCCCCGAGTGGTCAGGTGGCCAAGCGAAAAACCTCCCACGGTGACCAAGGTGAACAAAAACAGATGGGGGATGAACTTGCCATAATTTGCTACTCTCTTTCAAGTTGGAATGCACCAAAAGGGTGCTTCTCCACCTGATTTGGAGGCTCCACAATAGTGAATCCAGCTTGACACGGTCGAGCCTTAACGTTTCGGTACTAGTATCATCTGTCAGGACCAATGGATCTACTGGCAGGTCGTGCAGTTCTTGTTTGGATGGGTTGATGGTGTATGTGTGTGGGTTATAGGCCCTCCAGAAGCTTAGGCTTAGGTCTGACAGCAGTTTGGGATGACACGTCGCTTCGCCTCAGTTTAGTGTAGTGCACTCTTTGTTGGGTGCCTTACTTACATGCCCTGCATCGCTGCACGTGCTAAAATTAGGTTGATGTATGTTGATGTATAACATATAATATAGTAAATATAGTGAAAGAATTATATGTATACGCATGTATACGCCGCGTCTTGCGATAATCTGTTTTGCCCCACTGCTTGTTGGAGTTTCTCCCAGCACACCATATAATGTGTCTTGCTACTCAAAGCACGAACTTCTTGTAGAAACGTTTAGGATGCCCTCTAATGTTGGCCTTGGATGTGTTAAACTGGCACCTTAAACGAAAGACGGGCACCAAGCTTTCAGGGGAAACCTTTCAGATCTTTCAGCCACCGTCTTCGCGGGCGAAACCAGGATCGCGACGAAACCGAAACGGACAGGTCCACCAGGTCCGATCTGACCAGGTCGTCCAGTCTCCGGAGCCGAAGAAGGTGAATCCTGGAGCCAGCCGCCCAGATTCTCAATCCCAAAAACCGTGTCCAAATTGGTGCCGGCTTACTGGGGAACACCAAAAACCTGGGACGTTTGCAGTACTTGTCTGTGGGGCAAATCATGGTGGATCACGTACCATCTCTTTCACAAAGCTGCGATTGGTAGCCAGTTGCTCGATCTGCCCCAACTCCCCAACTCCTGCCTCCCAAGAGTTGTTGCATTTGGAGATCTCCCCACATCGAAAAAACGCCCTCAGTAATTGTTTAATTACCAGAGTCCTCCATGCCGAAACCAGCGTGTCTACACCGGACATCTGAGGAAGATCGATCTCATGCAATGTTGCCAATGACAGGAGGACAAAAATGATCCTTTTTCTTCTCGCGGAGCACCGAGAATCACTTTTAGTCTCAGTTTCGTAGTTCTCTCCAAAGAGCTCTCCCCATACGTCTGCTGAACACAACGTGAACTTCCTAGAAGTCCAAGTCCGAGTCGAATTCCGATGAAACAGCCGACGATGAATCCGGCATAATCCAGGCATATCTCAAGCACACCTTTTGGGTTCCATCGCCGAACGACTTCAAGAACTTCCTTTCTCGGCCTGCCGCACCTTTCAGTGCTTGCCTTGGGCAGTTCAAACAAAAATTGCCAACTGAGCCGACCGCCCCAGCAGCGCTTCAAGCTTGAGAGTTGGGACCATGAGTTGGGGTTTGCTTTCGATGAGTCCAGCGCTCCAAATCTTCGCATCTAGCCTGCCCAGGCCCTATAATTTAATGGTCCCAAACCAAGTACAAACTTGTCACGCATTCAGGCCTGAATGTCAGAGCTCAAGTTGTGTGCATTTTGCAACGTGTTAAGTGGACGAAAAAACGAGGTACATCCAAAAGCAAGAGAGTGTGGTTCTCTATGAACGCAAGTCAGGCAAAACAGCCTGTGAATTGGCGGGCTCCGCTGTGCACAGCGGTAGACGTTTGCTGTGCACTTCAGAACTCACGGCATAGCCCAGTGCTTTGAAGCCAGCATCAACAAAAACTGGTTCTTTGCGATGCCCAGGGCGCAACTCCTGCAGAACGGATCCATGAAGGGTTATGCCACAGCGAAGTTCGCACATGCAAGTCACCCAAACGACGGTGGTGACTGGAAACTTGAATTCTATACTCTAAGACTCTAAGTAACATGAGGTGACTACTTGACATTGCAACAAAATCACAAACTGTTGCGGACAAAGGAAGAACGAGGAGACAACAAATGTCGTTCATGTTTCCTGCCATCAGGTTTGTACACGCTTCAAACCTGGGCCTGAGTATTAGGTTCTTCTGCAGATGTCCTTCAGCGAGTCCAGCTTTGACTTGCTACATTACCACCTTGTGAATTCAGCCTGCCTCGTGCTCGTTCCACTGCCAGATGAGCCTGTTGGTATCCCTCAGAACTAAGCGGGACTACCAAAACCACCAATACACTAATCCCAATACACTAATCGACTCTCATAATTTCTCATGTATATATATATATACACATATATATTATATATTATATTGTAGTATACTGTATATAGATATGTTTTACATATTACACAGTTTGGGGGAGCCACATCAAAGTTCTGATGAGGCCCCCCACACACACACCAAAACAGCAACCAGCGTCCTGGCCTTGGAACATCATGCCGCAATCCTCGTTTCAGCAACGACAGTTCGCTTGGATGGAAGTTACCATGGAGCCATCGAAAGCATGCGATCATTCAATGCCAAAGGGTCATCGTTGCTGTGAGAAAAACATATGATAATCTTAATAAAATATGGAATAGCCATAGCCATGTCCCTCACTGAAAGCCAACAACACGGTGCGGTTCAAACCAGCATGGAACAGGGCCTTGGGTTCTTAAGACCAGTAAGCGTCCTGGAGACACAGATTTTCTCAAGATGCTAAAGTATATCATTTGATAATATATGTATATATTAATATTGATCTCTTTGGCACACGTTCTCTTACGAAATACAAAACACATCTTGAATCCGTGACAGTGACACTGTACGTAAGTGATGGGCAGTGCATTCTCCAGCACCTGGTTTTTCAGGCTCCCATTCTCATTTCAGTGTTGTTTCCGCACATCCCAGGTGGGACAGGTTCCTAAACGCTTATATAGGGATGGCTTTCGAGCGTGCACCAAACACCCAGCCCCATGTGAAGGGCTCCACGGTCGCTCTCTCCGAGAAGCTCGGCATCCAAATGTCCAATGATCAAGCCACGCACGTAGCTGTCCTACGGTTTCCAATAGCTTCTTCTTACTACTAGTAAGGCACTTGTTACTACTAGCGATGCACTTGTTTCT